TATATAATATCGCTGAGGACAGTAAAAGAGGAAGAGAAGGAGAAAACGAGAGAAGACAGAAGAATTAGACAATACAGAAAGACCAGCAAAAGTTCTCAATGAACAGTCACAGCACACATCACTATCACGCAATACAACAATTTGGCCAGAATATACAACGTGTTCGTAGAGGTCACATTATTGTTCCCTTATTGACAATAAGAACTACAGACATTTGACGGGAAAGAACGAGCAAACCACACCAGAACACCCGCCAAAAGATCAGATACATACAGCACAAGGGGAAAAACAAGTGGGATTAACAATGACGCTCCCCAGCAACCTGGAACTGGAATAAAGTACCACTGAAAAGAAGAATCTTTTTCGGGGTGGGGGGCCCCTTTTGAGAAAAGAGAAGTATTTAAACACAAGAAGGTTTAGGCTGTTTGGCGAGAAAAACAAGACTGACAGAAACATCAAAGAGAAAGAAAAGAAAGAATGTACCAGAAGCGCACTCCAACCATCCTCGCGGGGAAAAAAAAAACAGGAAGGAAGAAAAAAATATCAGAAAGGAAGGAAAAGAAGCAGACCACACTAGAGAGCTCACCAACCACTAAAAGATCAGGGGGGTGGGGGGGTGGGGGGAGAAAGAAGAATAGCGTCGGTCGTGGCTGAGGGGCGTGCGCGTGTTGTAACCACCCGGAGTACGGGCTCGAGAAACAGCGGATCCGGTCAGAGGGTATAGTCTCGGGTCACTGCGGCACGTGCCTCCCGCCGGCCCCGGCACAGTCCGGTCGGTCCGAGCGGACATTCACGAGCACATGTGCCGGGAGACACGATACCCGGGCACCCACACGGGTTGATAAACCCCCGGCGCTCCCAAAAGGGGATGCTGATGTAATCGGGATAGAGAGAAAAACAGAGGACAGGGGCAAAAAAAAAATTAATTTAAAAAATAAATAATAAAAGAGCAAAACAGAAGAGATAAAGTGTGTGGCTTCTTTGTTTCTTTTAATCAAGACAATCACATCGACACAATGCCGATCATTTAATTTAGTGCAAAGAAAAAGTAATAAACACTTTTGTCAGAAACAGATGGAAAGAAAATAAAACTGGGCCCACCAGTGGGACCTCTCAACCACCCGCGGGAAATGGGAAATAAATTAAAAGAAAAAAAACTACCAGAGGGAGAGAGGGAGAGAGAGAGAGAGAGAGAGAGAGAGAGAGAGAGAGAGAGAGAGAGAGAGACAGACAGACAGACAGACAGACAGACAGACAGACAAAGCTCGGACGGAAGTACATGTACCTTACCAAACCCTACTAACCCACATACTACAGCAGAAGCTTAACTCTGGGGAAACTTGGAACACACTTCTAAGTGCGATATGGTACACATCATCTCCTTACCCTTCAAGCTAAAGAAAAAGGCAAACTAGACATGCCAAATTCAACGAGGAAAACAAGCGTACAAAATGCAAACAAAACCCCAACAACGAAAGAAAGGCCCAGGTTCAATATTACCCCCCCCCCCCCAAACAAACAAGAAAACCCAATAAAAGCAACAAAAGCAAACAGTTAACTCTCACGTAAAAAAAAAAAATAAAATAAAAATAAAAGCAAAAACAACAACAATAACAGAACGCCCAAACCCCATCCCTTCCAAAACACAACAGCCAACCAATCAGCCATGCATCAAAACCAAGACCGACAATTTCTATGTATGCAAGTACTCATGAAAGTCAAATGCATATAAACAGGCTATTATGAACCCGAGATTCACTGAGAACTGAATAAAAGCCGCGAGGCTATACCACTGGAATAATTAAGTGGTATGGCCTGACCCACACGCGGAGCAACCCAAAGATAATTCTCCCCCCCCCCCAACCCCATAAAACCACCCTTAAAAACAAGTAATTTCTCCTCTTAAAAAACGTAAATCTGCATTACATTACCGACCCCCCCAACCCACCCACCCTCGGTCCCCCTTACTTTCCCCAAGCTCCTTTGCACTCACACAGGGACAAAACTCCCTGCTAAAAAAAAGTCCTAAGCCCACGCTTTCATCATACACGACAATCAGGGCTGATTGGCCGATCTAAGGCAATTAACCGGCCAGGCAAACAGTGTGGCGCGGCCATTACGGCCTACCGAGCGGCGACGTGTGCCAGCCTCAGACAAAATACCGTACTAATTATGCCGCGGTCACTCTAGCGGGGCAAGCAGCGTGCCCACGCCGCCACTCACGCGCGTACAGGGAGCCTGGTCGTGCCAAGTGCTGCCACCGCCGAGGACAAACCGTCATCCCCCCAGCCAAAGAAAAAAGTGAAAAAAACAACAACACCCAAAACCACCGCGCAAACATACTACACTACTGAGCCTGGAGCCCGCGAGTGTAGTCGTTATTTACGGAATGTTTCGTTCTAAAACATAATGCATAAAGCCAATCGTATAGCAGTGATATAGTAAGGTTGTTCTAGTCTGAAATCACCTTACTGGCTTACCAAAGACCCGTGGAAGTGAGGAAAATTTTTACACACACACAAACACACACACACACACACCAGACAGACAGACAGACAGACAGACATATAGAGCATGCTTGTATTCAGCTTTTTACAAAGGTGGGGAATTGAGGGGAGGGGTTAGGGAAAAAAAGGTCGGGGG